TCTCTGCCCTGAAGCTTGGGCCAGTCCCTGTCTCTCCTTCCCACTCTCAGTGGAAGCTATTTCATAGAGTTGTGGTAAGGATAAAAAAGAAGGGAATTGTGTACGTTGGTTGAATTCCTTGGGAAAAGGGTGAGGTAAAAATGAAATAAAGATGCAGTCCTAAGATTCATCTAGTCCTAGCTATCTTCATGGGCAAAGGGAAGTCAGTATGCAGCTAGGCAGGTTTTGAAGGTTCATCACTACTGTCAGTCACTTCACTAAAACAGCCAGCCTGTCAGAATGGAAAAGCTGCTTGCTTGTTTGGCCAGAGGAAACACAAGTTGCCTTATACCAAGTCCCACCGTTAGTCTATCAAGGCCATTATGTTCTGATCTGACTGGCGGCAATTCTGCAGGGTCTCAGCTAGAGGTCTTATCTGAGATGCCGGGGACTGGACCTGGGACTCTGCACATGCCCTCCCACCGAGCCACTGTCTTTCCTCAAACGTCCAATGCACTTCTCTCCCATTGGGACATACACTTGTCTAAATACGTCTTCCATCCAGCAGCATGCTGTGAGGATCTGTGGCGGCAGAGCCACCCGCAGGGGGAACAAAACCACCTATTCCAAAAGTACCAGCCAAATGACTGAGGAGGATATGGATTTACCCAGCCCCCCCCCCCCCGGTGATCAGTGTACTCAAACTACAATCCAGTGACCAAAACTGTGATGATGCAATCCGGCTGTAAGAATAGCTCCACACATGGGTCTGCCTGCATGGACTAAGTCTCCTTGGCAGGATCAGGGCCAGTGTGTCATGAAACATCTCTTGAAGATCTTGTTGGTTTAAGAAGAAGAAGAAGAGACGGGATTTATACCCCGCTCTTCACTCGGAGTCTCAGAGCGGCTTACAAACGCCTTTCCCTTCCCCTCTCCACAACAGACACCCTTGTGAGGTAGGTGGGGCTGAGAGTGCTCTGACAGAAACTGCTCTTTTCAGGAACACCTCTGACAGAACTATGGCTTGTCCAAGGTCATCCAGCAGCTGTGAGTGGAGGAGTGAGGAATCAAACCCCGTTCTTAGAGTCCACACACTTAACCACTACACCAAACTGGCTACACCAAAATGATTTCATGCCCTTCCATCCAAAATATTTTTATTCAGGCGGCCTTGTAAGCTCTTTGGGGATTTCCCATGATGCTCTTGGGTTCCACAACATTTAGTTATTTATTTGGCTCGATTTCTATCCTGCCCTAAGTACCTTGGGTAAACCAAGGCAGCTATCATTCTGTGTCATCGAAAATTGAAGACCATGATCGATGGTACAGATGGTAAAAGAGAGGTAGCAGGATGGTAACAGGGTGGGGGCAGACGATATTTGATGTCTGCTGCCTCACCCAAAAGCCTGGTGGAAGAGTTCCGTCTTACAGGCCCTGCAGAACTCTAAAAGGTCCTGCAAGGCCCTGATCTCTAGTGGGAGCTCATTCCACCAGGTTGGGGCCAGGGCGGAAAAGGCCCTGGCCGTGGTTGAGGCCCGATGGACGTCTTTTGGGCCAGGGATCACCAGTAAATGCTGATCTAATGAGCATAAGGCTCGACATGCCAACACAACAGTGGCACCCCATGAATGCACACTTTGTACCAACAGCAGCAGTAGTAGCACTGTGTTAGAGATGGAAAAATATTCAAGGGGGCCAAGGGAGACAGATTTTGGGGAACAACGTTCAAACATCGGCAACAGAAAAGGAAATGATACTAGTTTTTTATGGGGAGGGGGCAAGAGCAGGGGCAGCCATATAAATGCGCAACAGCTCCATTTAAAAAGCCCGTGCAACAGTGTACCCAATTTTTTGGAACAACGTTCAAACATCGGCAACAGAAAGGGAAATGATACTAGTTTTTATGGGGAGGGGGCAAGAGGGGGCAAGAGCCATATAAATGCGCAACAGCTCTATTTAAAAAGCCTGTGCAACAGTGTACCCAATTTTTAAAAAAAACTCACCTATTTGTTGTACGTGGCAGAACCCCTTCCTAAATTATGACGGACAACTTTACAGCAACACATGACAAATTTGATTCTGAATGGAGGTTATTCATACAAGATCAGGAGTATGAACTATTCAGGCTCCCTGTTTAACCTTAGTGTCACATAAAATAAAGTCTCCATGAGGAACAAATATAAAAAAACTCAAGCCGACAGCAAAGGTTATGAGAGAAGAGATGCGGTCGGAGATCCCACAGCAAACACCTCTTGACATGCCAGAGGCTGGAGGAAATGCACCGATGACCCCGCAACAGGAAACCTCTTGCCCTTTCCAATTCCACCCGTGAGGCAGAGGCCAACGATGGGGGGGGGGGGAGAGCACCTACTACCAGCCCCTGTTCTGCTTCCTCTTGCTTGGAACAGATACATCCTGGACCAAAACTTTGCCCCTACAACATAAGTGATGGCAAGAAAAGCTCTTTTAAAACAAGAAAGAAAGAAAGAAAGAAAGAAAGAAAGAAAGAAAGAAAGAAAGAAAGAAAGAAAGAAAGAAAGAAAGAAAGAAAGAAAGAAAGAAAGAACTTTTTTATTGCACCTGCATTTCTACATCCATAGCACAGGATTAACTCTTTACACCAACTCTTTCACACAAAAGATTGTGCTGAACAATCCTGCCTGGTGAAGAGTTCTGGAGACTCAAAAACTTGCTCAGCGTCTGATCATATTTTGGCCCAACTTAAAAAACTAGATTGGCCCTAGTTTTTAAAAAAGATAAGATACATAATGGCTGCTTTTGGAATTTTTCTCACATCACTGTACTTTAAACTCATTCGACTTTTAGGTCCCAATGTTGAAAAGCTATAAAAGGAAACTTAAAAATAAATAAATGATAGAGGCATTTAATTCAAACCACAGTGCTGGCCACTTGGAACAGCTAGGTATAAGTAACAAGAAGTGAATTCATGGCTTGGCATTTCCCATTTAACAAAATAGGTATATTTAACCAGAAACCTTATCTTATCGCCCCTTTGCTACTATGACTGTGAACACAGCAAGTAGTTCAGAAGGGGTAACAGGTAACTGAACGCCAGGAGGCCAATTCCTTCAGCCTGGGGGGTTGGCTCCTTCCTGGCCATGTCCCCATTCCCTTTACTCGGTGTGCAAACGGGCTGGGGATGGTCTGGCCTGACTACTGAGGAAGGCTATTTGTGGCCCGTACGTTCCTTCAATCCTGTGTGCTCAGGAACAAGGGGAAAAAGCCAGATTCCACATCAGGAAAGGCCTAGACTCCTTGGTCTGTAACCCAACAATTCTCAGTGTGACAATGGCGACTTTTGGGTCTAAAACTCCTTTAAAAAACTGGGTTAGTGTTTAATGCTGGGCTTTGCGGCACATGGAATATATTTTGGTACAAAATGATATTACAACATTGATTATTTAGATTTCATTACCAAACAGAAATTACAAACGTTCTTGCCTGAACACTTTTCACAGCAGGGGAGGAAATGTCCTAATGAATGCATACCTGAAAACATCCTCAAGCAATTTTTTTTTTTTAAAAAGGGTACCCAGTCTAATTGAAATGTGCATACATTTTCATAAAGAATGATACTGTTTAAGGCTGCACAGACTTCCTCGCAAAGCCACGACGGTTCCTGGCAGTCTTCAGCACGCAAGGGGAAAAAAAGTCACCAGATGTGTTAGACTTTTTAAGTTGCATTGATTTTGAGAGCTGAAGGGTTTCTTATATATACCCACAGCTGTTTCTAATGGACCTTGAAGAACAAGATTAGGTTTTCTTTGAGATGTGGACAGAACTTGCTTACTTGTTCAAAAGACATCACTTACTATCTTCCCAGATGTACAGTCTTGCCCTGACAGGAAGAGACTCCGGCATCTACAGCCCTGCCACTCTTAATCAGACAAAGCTAAAGTGGCACAGCTCCAGAGCTGCCTCTCGATTTGCAGACACGGCAGAGGTCAACGGCCTTCTGGCCTAATGTCTTGTGGCAAGGCTAAAGAGACTGGAGTCCAGTCCTTCTCGACGGGAAGGGGTGAGGGTTCTTGGGCCCAGGCCCCCAGTGGGCTCCTATCCCTTTAAGAGGGGTCTGCCACGCATAATCTGGCCCATCACTTGGCTGCTGTGATGCAAGAAGCCATACCCAACAGACTCTTTGGTCCAAGTCTTAAAGGTAAAGAAACTCTTCCAGAATCTGGAGGCAGCAAGGCTATTCACTGAAGGCTCAAATGCATGTTTCTCCCTCACCACTAAAGGTAAAGGTTTCCCTTGCTCGAAAGCTAGTCAAATCTGACTCTAGGGAATGGTGCTCATCTTGAAAGCAGGGGGAAATGAAACACATTGCTGAAATGGCTGCCAGCCATTTAACCCTTCCTGGGCGATCCCCCCTCCCAGCTGTGGTTTGCCGCAGCCAGGAGAAAGAGTGACCCAAATTGGTTGGTTCGGTTCCGGCATTTTTGGCTCGGTTCGGGGTTCAGTTCGGGAACCACCCCAAAGCAAACCAGAATTGTTAGGTTTTTGCCAATCCCTGTTTCTAACAGCAGACACTGGCAATGCAAAGGTATGATCTGCTTTACCGTAGCCACGTCTGAGTAGCAGCCAACCGCAAGCCCCCCCCAAAAAACCCCAGTGTGTAAACAGAATGGGATGAGTAGCACCCTCATCTTGAAGTTGTGGCAGACCTTCATGTGACACAGCTACAAATTGCTGTATTCGGACTGTCGCTCCAATACAGACATGCATTGAAGAGCGCTTTGCTTTCCACGAGGATGGTATTTATTTATTTGATTTATGCCTTGCCCTCCATGCCAAAGCAGGCTTGGGGCGGCTTACATAAGAATTTTGAAACAAAGTTTAAAACACAGATAAAACAAGGCAATTATAAATATGAATATAAAATCCATCATCATAAAGTGCTGGTGAGCAATTTGTATCACGGTGGCAAGGTATTAGTAGCAATCAGTTAAAGTAAGCGTACAGTCAGCATCTGATGTTGGGACTGACATCTCAGTACTTACGCAGCTTCCAGCCAAGATCTCTGCAAACAATGGAATTGAGCCATCTCTATGTGTGAACTTGTCTCTGACAAAGTCATTAACCTAATATAAAAACATAATTAATACCCTCCTGGCACTTCCCATTTTTCCCTCCCACACAAACTTTTAGCAACATGTTCAGAACGTCTATAAACAAAACAAAAAACAGAGCTTGGCTAAGAAACCTGAGAAATCCTGACCTGAGAAACACACATTTCGTGAACGTAAATTTTTCAAAAGAGCAATGACAGGCGACAAGTTATTTCAATTATTTTTTCAGAAGGGTATACTTACTGTAAGCTTAATAGCTTTTTCGGGAGCAACACCAATAAGCTGTGGAAGTAAACCTGTGTAAAAACAACAAGAGAGTAGATTTATCACAATTAGTATGAAAAAAAATTAGTACACACTCTAGTTTGATCTTTAAAAAAAGCGGTCTTCAACCTTTCTAGATCCCAGGACCCAATAGCATGGGTTCCCCCTGACCAGAAAGTATGTGATAGGAAATCAAGTTACATCAGAGTCACGTGACAGGAAGAGGAGGAGCCAGAATTATGGCTTAACTGGTGCCAAGGCTGGGGCCATGGCCAGCAGACCAACAGAGCCAGAGACCAGAAACACAGGCCAGGCACCTGGTGGTGTACTGCAGTGAAGAATAACCCAAGAGTCAGAACCATGAAAGAACCCTCTCCTCAGCATGGATGCCAAGACAGTCAAGGAGGCGGGGCTTGTTTCCATATATGTATGCTAGCAGCAGACCATTCCAAAACAGAAGCAAAAAAGGGGTGGAGCTCTAGGCATCAGCAATCATCATGATGGTCAGATCTGTATGCATGGGGATGCCCATCAATGCCTGCCACCCCTGCCAAACAGCCCGGCGCCCTCCCCAAACAGCAGTCCCTCCCCCCTCTGAAGTGCCTATGTTAAAGGTGCGCAGGCAGCATCCCGGGCAGTGGCACCACCACCAGCAACAGAGCAAGGAACACACAGTTATCCAGTGCGCAGCAGCACCTGCACCACGGTGACAAGGGTGGCAGCAGGAGCAGCAACCTCTGCTGTTGCCTCCACATCCTCCTGGCGGCGGCTCCCTTGATGCCTCTCAAGTGGTGGGGCGAGCGCAAAGCCGGAGTTGAAAGGAGCAGCCATAGCCATTGCTGGGAGCCTTACAGGGCAAGCTCTGGCCACCGCCACCCCCGTTTCACTCTATACGCACCGCCCACCTCCAACTTGCAGTCACCGGACGGTCCAAGCACCAGCCTGCCTTTACAGTGCCCCCTGAGGAAGAGGACGGTGCAAAACAGGCCAAGGTGCTTCCACACCCCCGGCCTTTTGAGGTTGGCTGGCGAGGAGAACAGGCATGGCACGAGACAGGCCTCAGAGGCGACGTGGGGCCTTCCGCACCGAATCTGGCAGTTGAGGGACCTCTTTGGTTTGGCAAGCCAAACATCTGGATGTGCTCCCAGCATGCAAAGTGGAAACCCTGCTGCCACTGGGAAGTGTGCCATTTACCATGCAGTTGTTAATTGCCTTAGCAAGACCCTAACAAGTACCAGTTGGCTAAAGTCTCTGCCCTCCCTACTTGCTGAGCAACACAACCTCCCACCCCTACACAGCAGCTGTGCTGTGTGCACAAACTTTTAAAAAGGGTTTATTTTTCTTAATTCTTCAGCAAGAAATTTAGGGGCTGACTGTTTCTGTGAGGTGCGTGGAGGAGTTTTATCTAACACACGAGATGCACCAAGGCAGGTGCTGGGCGGGTCCATGGCTCTGGCCGGCCCTGTCCTGCCCCTCCCCTCACCCAACCCCATCCTCCCCACGTGGCACCTTGGTGCACCCCTAACAAAACTTTTCTGGGTACAGGGCTGCTGAGAGTCTCGACCACTGCTTTACACCTCTGTTCCCAAAAGGAGCATTTCCCCTGCTGCCCGCCTGTATGGAGCCAGCAGTAACATGAAGTGTTCCCAGCACTACCTTACATCCAAGCATTTCAAGACTTCACGTTACGTCTGGTAAGGAAAGGTCTGACTGCAAGGTCTGACTGCAACCATCGTTCTACAGATAGCGCAGCAACGCCACTTTCTGGGTTACCCAATCCATACATCAAAGACAATGCTTTTCCAAAGCGACACACAAATATTCTGTGGACTGTCCACCAATTCTAAAATCTATGCAGTTGTCCACGTCGTAACTTATCTATATACTATTAGCGACGTGTGGCCCCCATCTGCAGATACTTAAAGCTGCGGATCGAGGCCAAACGGATTTTTCAGAAAACTTGGGGGACTATCCAGGTTTGCAGAAAAATCTGAAAATTTCATAAAATACACAGGGGATTTAAATCTCCCCCAAAGTAAAATAGCGTTCTCTGCACTGCACTTACAACCAGTAGTGGCGCCAGGGGGCAGTGCTGGGTCCAGCAGCAGCAGCTGTGCAGCCCGGGGCTCCATAGTGGGTCCACCGGTGGCTGCACAGTCCAGGGCTCTGTGCTGGGCCCAGTGGCAATTACTTTGGTCATACCTCTGCCACTGGTGCAGCCCAGGAGCTGCACTGGGCATGCTGCCACTGGCGGTGCAGCCTAGGAGTTGTGCCAGGCCCACTGGCGGTGGAGACACAGGCTCGTGTGTCACTCTGGGCGCAGGCCGGTTGAGAAAGTGGGGAGAGGGAATCCCTTCCACGAGTATCACTGGCCTACGCTTGAGCTATTTTAATGGAGACAGAAGAGTAAGCATGGGAATTCGAAATTGCAATACAAGGTCTCTAAACTTTTTGAAAAGTTCAGTGAGAGGCAGCCAGGATAAACTACAATGGTGCCTGCTTAAAGACAGCCAGGCACAGTTCAGCTAGTGAAGAAGAAAGGGGCTGTGGGGCTACTCATGCCCACATGTACCAGACTCCTGTCCACCTCCCCTCACACACAGTGACATAATAAACAAACGCCTTCTTCTTTCAAGGCAAGCCACAGTTCACCATTACACCCAAACCAACAACTATGGCTTGCTCTCTTCCCTCCCCGATCGACTATGAAGCCTGCTAGGTGAATTGGGGCCAGCCTAACCCACCTCACAAGGTTGATGTGAGGACAAAATGGAGGACAGAAGAGGTATGCATGCAGCCCTAAGCTTATTGGTGGAAAGGTGGGATTAAAAATGTGATGTTCCTCCTACCCCTGTAAGTAGATCGCCTAGAGAATTGGGGTTCTTTTAACCTTAAAGGGGAAAATTCAGGAAAGGGGATATCTCGTGAGCAGGAAAAAAGAGTCCTATTAGCTTCACCAGTTAAAACTGAGACCACATTCACTCCCATGTGGAGTGTTGTTTCCCTATTTCCTTGTCCTTGCCTCTATTTAACAGGCGTCAGGATTTCAGAAATGCAGAGCGAAGAAGTCGCACAAGAGCCTGGCCCCTCCTCTTTCTGGTGCACCTTCAAAAGTGGAATTTCCTTATATCCTCTGCAGTTAAGATTGCCAGGCTCCCCCCCCCCCCGCCCCGGTTTACATTTCACTATGAAGGAGAGCAGAGCAGAAGACGCAGACGTTCTCCATGTCAGATGTTCTGGAGAAGCCAAGAAACAGGTAACATTAGATACCGGCCCTTCCTTTCCCCCAGCACTGAAAACCTGAAGCCGCTCCTGTTTTTGTCTTTAAAGCCGTATGAATCAACAGGATAATGCGCCTCTGTAAGCAGACAGATGCAATCAGTTGGTCTGTATTAGGCCTCGACTACCTGTCTGTCATTCCCAGCTGTATACTCAGGGGTGTTTTAGATCTTTGCTTGGACAACATTCCATATTCTGACAGCAGCCTGGACTTGGTGACCGGTACAGTAATTTATAGAAACCTTTCTGGCGGCAGACTTGATTTCAACAAGGATCAGTAGAGGGCAGCCTTAACCTGCTCGGCTTTTTCCGACACAAAACTCTACCATTTTTGATCCCGCTGTTCCCAGCCGTGACACATTACCTGCAGGGGTCACCTGTCCCTTCCCCAAGCCCTGAAATTTCCACAAAAGCTTACAGAACTGTTACAAAGTGCTGATTCATTCCCCATTCATACCCCCCCCCCCGCCAGCCCCATGGTTTTAATAGCGATGAAGTTAATCTGTCAACCAGTCTGTTAGCTGATTGCCCAAAGGAGACAGGTCTTATGCAATGGAGCCATTGCCGCTCTCCGAAAAGACAGGACAACATACCTTAAAAGCAAGGCGGGATTTACCTTCCACGCTCAAATTCACCCTCTTATAAAACCCAAAGCAAGCATACATCTGCGCACACGCACACACACACACACACACAAAAGATCAGCAGCTAATGTACTCCATCGATTAGTTTCTTTCAACGTAGTCTTTTTTTGTCGGAGGCTTAACAGACTTATTATGCTGGGGAAAGGTAGTGATTAAAATACAAAGGGTGGCTGACAACAACAAAGAGCAATGCTGCTCACCCAGCCCGAGCCTCTGATCCACGGCTAGAAGAAAATTTAAGCACAGTAGTGCCTCCAAGTTAAAAGAACTAATAGACGAGCACACCTGGAGGGCCACCTCCCACAGCCATTAACGCAGTTGAATACTCAGAGCTTGCGTGCGCACAGACAGCAAAACCTGAGTTTCATGCAGCCTTAAAGCTGGCGTTTCAATACTTTAAACCAACACAGGAAATACAAGAAGAAAAAGAAAGTGCTGCTGAGTTGCAACCAACTCATGGGGACCCCCACCCATCCACGGAGCGATCCAGGCAAGAAATAAGCAGAGATGGTTTGCCATTGCCTTACTCCACACAGCGTCCCTGGACTTCCTTGGCAGTCTCCCATCCAAGTACTGACCAGGGCTGACCCTGCTTAGCTTCCAAGTTCTGATCAGCTCAGGCTAAGCTGGGCTACTCATGCTGCCCACAGAGAACAAGATGCCTACAGGAACAGATGCTTCCCTGTCTTCTGCTTTCCACAGCAGCCCCTATTGCTTCCGTGAAGGCAGGGCAGAGAGTCAGCCTTTAGAATAAAAAGCTACCTGGCATGTAGGGACAGCAATTCGTCAGCAATGCTCCCGCTGGTGCAAGAGGTTTTGCTGGTGGAGGAGGGAGGCGCACGCCTGCAGCTACAGTGGGGAGTTTGAGGGCCCGCTGGTGCAAGAGGTTTTGCTGGTGGAGGAGGGAGGTGCACGCCTGCAGCACAGTGGGGAGTTTGAGGAGAGACCCGCTGCCTGTTGCCACGGCTTGTCCTCGGGCTTCCCTCTCCCTCCCACTGTGGGATGGGGGGGGCATCATGGGACCTGGGAAAAGACAGCTCAGAGGGCATTTAAATGCCTTTTGAGTTCCCTTCCACAGGGCAAGAAAGCTCAGAAGGACACTCAAGAGTGGTACCTTCAATACATTTCTAACAATCCCCTTTTCTGTTAGCCCAGTCCTGCTGTATCCCACCTAGGTCATGGTGAGTCTTTCCAAAGCATTCCCATGAGCCTTTGGGAAACATGGAAATTAAGTGAAACACATAGTGCAAAACTTTCTTAAAACAATCAAAGTTTAAGGAGACATGAGCCTTTGGGAAACATGCAAATTAAGTGAAACACATAGTGCAAAAGGAGATGGTGCCTTCTCAAACACAACACAGCTGAAGACAGCTCTTCCAGTTCCCAATAGCTGGCAATTGGGAAACTGTGCGTATATGTGATTGTAATAGGGTTGCCACCTCTGGGTAGGGAAACACCTGGAGATTTTAGTAGTGGAGCCTGGAGAGGGCGGGGTTTGGGGAGAGGAGGGACCTCGGCAAGGTATAACGCCAGAGTATAATGGTTGTCTGGAGGTCTGCTGTAAAAGTGGGAGATCTCCAGGTGCCACCTGGAAGTTGGCAGCCATAGACTGTAATTATTCCATGGCAGGAAACGGGTGGGGTTTAATTCTACATCCAACTCCAATGAAACTACATGCTTTGAACTAGGAGCTCAAATGTGCACACAGACCTCCTAATGCCAATGGCTTCCCCTCTCATTACAGTGGGGAAAGCCAACTGCACAAGTAGTCCTTTGGAAAAGGGCACAGGCGCTTAGGACCCTAATGTTAGTTTTCCCATTTGGGGGAAAAAATTGCCTGCTGAATTTATTTGACATGTGGTTTCATTTCACCTACCTCTGTAAAGCCCAAAAAAGCCTTCATAGCGCAGCACTTTCTTAAAACAATCAAAGCTGTTTTTGTACATCAGCTCTCCGACAACTGACCCAGAGGTGCGTTGGTTCTGCATACGGGTCTTCACCAGATCAATGGGGTACACAGCGGTAGCTCCTACGGCTGTAAACAAAACATATTCAGACTTTATGTTACACTTTGTCGTGCACGCACATGGAAATATGCCATTGTGGACGATGCGAACTCTTTCTGCAGACGCAATGCCAACTTCTACATACACAAGGTGCCCTATGAAGACCAGGAACAGGAAGGCAATCTGGTGAGTGGAATTTTTATCTGGGGCAAAAGAAATTGTAAAAAGATACTGATCAAGCCCAGGACAGCTTTACCTCAAATCCTGAGAGTGGGAATGTGGGAATCTTCCTTATACTCAGGGCATGAGCTTATCCGAAGAAGTGAGCAGTGACTCATGAAAGCTCATCCCCTGCCACATATTTTGTTAGTCTTTCAGTTGCTACTGGACTCTTGCTCTTCTCTACTGCTACAGACAACCTAACATGGCTACCCATCTTGATCTATTTTCTTATACCCAGTCAGACTATGGGTCTACCAAGGCCAGTATTGCCTATTCTCACTGGCAGTGGCTCTCCAAGGTTCCTTTCACATCACCTACTGCCCAGTGCTTTTAAGTGGAGGGGCCAGGGACTAAACTGGAGACCTTCTGTATGCTAAGCAGATGCTCTGCTATAGGGGTGCGCAAAAAAAAAAAATGCCGGTATTTTTCGGCTTTGGATATATCAGACCCAAAAATATTGGTAAATGATGAATTTCCCCAGTCCAATACCGGTAAAGTATTGGGATTGGGAAAATTTTCGGTATTCCCTAATATATTCGGGTCCGATATACACCACCAGAGGGAAAGGAGGCATGTTAAAATGCCTTCTTTCCTTCTGGTAGCCCCTACAGATTTCCATGTCAATTTCACTCCCTGCCAGTCACTGTGAGTGAAATTGACCAGGGAAAGTCTTCCCTCTCTGACTTCCCTTCTCTAGCTGACAGGGGGTGGCTGGAGAAGGGCAGGCAGGGAGCCCAGGGAGCCAATCTGGGGAAGGGAAAGAAAGGCATTTAAACATGCCCCCCCCCACTTCCCTGAGTTTCTCCACAAAAGCGGAAAGGCTCAGGGAAGGAAGGGGGCATGTCTACATGCCTGTCCTTTCCTTCGCCAGCGAACCCACCATAGCAGGCTCGCTGGGGAAGCAAAGGACAGGCATGCAAACATGCCTGAGTTCCCTGCCTGATCTTCCAGGGCACCTGGAAAAGATTAGGCAGGGAACTCAGGCATGTTTAAAATGCCTTTCTTTCCCTCCCTGATCCTGGGGAGGGAAAGGAAGGCATTTAAGCCCAACAGCTGACTGGCGGCTCAGCCTGTTAGGTTTAAATGAGACCTTGTTTTTGGTATAGCAAAATGAACCTGAAAAAAAGCTGGATAATATCGGCTTTTTCAGGTTCAGTTCGGCTTATGTAGTACCCGAAAAATACCAAGAAGGTATCTTTCAGGGTTTTTTTTGGTTTGGCTATTGCCGAATGCACACCCCTACTTTGCTACTAAGCCATGGGATAGTGAGAGTTATCCAGTCATGAAGGGACTGAGGATTCACAATGGCTTTTTAAATTATGACTTCACACCTTTTCAGGAGAGATATTATTTTGCTGCGCTGGCACAGATCAGTTATGGTGCCACTTACTGTTCCCAAAGGTCAGAATGGCAGAACTCTGTGTGTTATATCACCTTTTCCCCCACCTGTGATCAGAAACCCTGCTTTGGCAGCTTGGCTCAAATTCAGTTCCATTCACAAAATGTTTGGAGCAGCCATGAGATAATGGGAACACCATCCAACCTCAGTGAACATAGGTGGTGGTGGTGGGGAGAGACAGTTCTCTGGAAACTCAAGCAGATTGAAAGCTTAGTTAAGAATGATTTAACTCAAAAGTCAACGGCTTGCGTTAAGTTATAACACTCCAGAGGGAAAGTGAGAGAGATTGCGGCACAAACAGATGTGTTGCTACATCCTGTTTGAGGAGCAAAATAGTAACTGAACAGTACCTGACAAATATGTATTTTAAAAGGCAAAGATCTCATGTCCGCCCCCCCATCCCTTCTTTCACTTCAAGTTTTTTCTTGGTATCAGTCGAATATA